CACACACACACACACACACACACACACACACACACACACACACACGACAGTAAGTATGAAAAGAACAAAACGATCTGAAACAGATGGAGATGCAGTGGGATTGGCACCTGACTGTGGGCAGAGAGATCCGGTCCCTGGTGAGGAGTCCTGCAAGGGGAGACGCCACTTCAAATGGCCATCATGCACTAAGGGCCTGTGAGCAAGCCAATCACCCTCCCAAGAGCCCCTCTGGCTGGGCACAGCAAGTGAAGCCCAGCCCAGACAATCCCCCCACACCCCCCGATGATAGATTTTCCAAACTTTTCTTGTCATCTGAGCCATTTGAGGTTTTGGCTGCTCTAGAGCTCATTAATCAGCCTCTACCAAGCTATGCACCTTATTAATTGCACTTAGCAGACTGGAAGCCCAGTCTCTGGGCACGCGAACCGAGTGGCCACTGAGAACGCTCTCTCCTTGCACAATAGGAAGTACCTTCCGCTTTGTTGGCTACAGGAAGCTGCTATAACAATCATTATAGCCAGAAAGAGCAAGCAAGTCGGCTGAGCCCTCTCATACTTCCCTTACACCCATTACCTGGGAAGCCCCCTCCCCACTTCAGTGGAATTTCACATTCCAGAGTTCCTGCTATTCTGGCCCAGACACCTCTAGTGTTTCTCACAGTGAACTAGAGGTGCAAAAGGGAGTTACCAAGCACAAACCCAAAGCTGACAGAGGTCCAGAGACAGGCGCGAGTCAGCTATCCCAGCGGAGTGTGCTTGTGGAAGAGACATCTTACGAAGCACTATGACAAGGGCCCAGCCACAGAGGCAGGGAACTTGGGCCAGCAAGATGGTACCGTATGGAAAGGTGCTCGCCGTCAAGGCTGACAACCTGAGTTTGGGCCTCAGGACCCACATGGTATATGGAGAGAACTGACATTCAAAAGTTGTCCTGGCTTGTATGCACGTGCCTCCCCAAGGCCAGTATAAATGTAAGAGGGGGAATAAACAAAGGTGGGGGTGGAAGCCTTCCAGGGCACCTCACGGGTGGCAGGGGCATGGCAAGCGAGCAGAGCGCTCAGGGTTAGGGAGTGCATGCTCACCAAGAGCCTTACAGGCCTCCGATAGGATCCATGCACCTTTAAGTACCCACCTCCGACCCCTGGGATCCTGAAGCAAGCCACAGACCTGCCCCAGGACAGGTGACTGCCTCCTCTCAATGACCGCCTACTGCATCTGAATGCCTCGTCTCATCCCTCCACCCCCCAAAGCAGCAGAACACGGTGCCAACAAAGCCCCTTTCCACCCTGGCTCTGTTCTGCAGCTCTGCCTCCGTCCCACCTCCCCCAGCGAGGGCCAGCGCCACGTCTGACCTGCGAGGAAGTCCTGCACTTCGCCAAACACAGCTCGAAGTGGTCTTCAACCGCCATGAAGAGGTTCTGGAAGGCCACGGCTGCCCGGTTGAGGAAGCGTTCCAGCAGAGGTTGCTATGGGAACAAGGTATTCAGTACTGGTAGTAATGGCAGGCCAAACCAGCCCGCCGGGAGGGATTCTCTCATTCCCCAGATCCCTGGTTAGCAATAGCATGGTCCTCTCTGCGAAGGAACCATAAGCCAGGGACCAGCTCCTCTCTCGGGAGAGGCCAGTGTGCCTATAAAGCTCCCCTTGGGCACCCCAGAAGATGACCGGAAGACAAAGCGGCGGGGAGCTGGAGTCCCTACCTTGCTGGGCTGCAGACAGCAGGAGACACAGTACTCATAGGCTTCACAGCAACCATTGACCAAACACCCTTCACAGCAGTACTGCTTCGTGCTGGGGACCTTGATATCGCAGCAGCCGTTCGCCAGCAGGTTCTTCCTCTCGCAGACATAGCCTGAAAGCCAGAGACGCAGCTGAGCACCTGGGCTGGTTTCGCCTAGGCAGTCGGGCTCCCCACCACCACTAACTAGAGCCACACTGTCACTGTGTTCAACCAGTTTCCAGTCCACTGCATAAGTGTCAGCTCATCACCATGCCACACCACGCCACGCCACGCCCACGCAGCTGGGTGTTAACATAAGCAAGAAATCTTTCACCTCAGCCTCTTTTCAATAGTCTACGATAGGGCTGGAGAAGATGGCTCAGCAGTTAAGAGCACTGGGCACTCTTCCAAGAGGTCTGAGTTCGATTCCCAGCAACCATTTAGTGGCTCACAACCATCTCTAGTGGGGTCTGATGCTCTCTTCTGGCATGAAGGTGGACATACATAAAAGACATAAATAAAAAGTCTAAAACAGAAACAAGGTACCCATTCATAAAAAACGAGTACTTTGCGGATTTAAAAAGCAAGCAAATGGCTTTTGATGGCGTCTCCATGCTTGCGGCCGTGGTCACTTGAAGGGACTGTTAAAGCAGGAAAGTCACGGTCCACCTTCAGAACTCTGCCTCCGGTGTACACAAACATGGTGGGGGAGGGGCACAGCCACCCCCGAGAACTGGGGATGACGCTCTCAAACCCTTGAGGGAGAGAAAAACCCAACTCGCTCCTCGGCTGAGAAAGCCCATCACACAGATAAGCATGTCCAGTGTCGGCCAGGCCTCCTTGCTGAGGCTGCTTTACTATTCAGAGAATCTAAGCAGACAATTCCCGGCACCCTTTGGGAACAGGTATGTGTGTGGGCCCTCTGGTGTGTATGTGGGGGCCCTCAGGTGTACGCAGGGGCCTTCAGGAATGCACATGGACTTCCAGGTGTGTGCAGGGACCCTCAGGTATGTATATTAGCCCTGAGGTCTGTGCAGGGACTCTTGGGTATGTGTGTAGTCCTTCAGGTGTGTTCAGGAGCCCTCTGGTGTGTGTTTGTGGTGGTAGGGCCCTCAGGCATGCATGTTGGCCCTCAGGTGTGTGCAGGAACTCTCTGGTGTGTATGTGGGGGCCCTCAGGTGTGTGCAGGGCCCCTCAGGTATGTGTGTGGGTCTTCAGGTGTGGGAAAGGGCCCTCATGTATTCGTGTGGGCCCTCAGATATGTGTGCTGGCCCTCAGGTGTGTGCAGGGCCCCTCAGGTATGCGTGCTGGCCCTCAGGTGTGTGCAGGGCCCCTCAGGTATGCGTGCTGGCCCTCAGGTGTGTGCAGGGCCCCTCAGGTATGCGTGCTGGC